ATGCTCTATAGAGACGGCGTTCTCACTGGAGCTGTGCATTTGGGGACAACAAATGCTTCTTGCTAGGGGTGTCAGGGAGACAAACACCCTGTGCTCACTCTTGTCCTGCCCCCAGTGTTTTGCCTGCTTCCCATGGACCCAACCCAACTGGGAACAGGAGGGCAAGGGAGCCCATTAGAACAGTGCACACAGGAAGCCACGCAGAGAAGGCTACAGGAGGGTGGGGAGGAGGGGATTCTGGAGTGGTGAAAGGAAGATACTAATCACACATTGCATTTATTCTGCGGAGAGGTCTGATCAGGGTGTTGACCGTGGCCATGTCAGTGTCACAGAGCTGCTTCAGTCTGTTGGGTCTGGTGCCCCCTGGCCTTGACGTCCACGTGAGCACAGGTGTGTGCTGTCTTCTCTCTTCTGGCCGGCCTCAGTGGTCAGGGGAACTTGCCGATGGCACAGGGTCAAGCTTGCTCTCTAGGGGGTGCTCTTCTCAGGATATTTGGGCTCCTTCAGAGCCGTAGTGTCTTGGGCTGCTGGAAGATGGGTGACGTGTGGATCCATCTAGCTATAGATGCTTTTCAGCACTGCTTTCTCAGCTGTCAAAGCTTCTGCTTTGACTTTGGCTTTGGGAAAGGTGGGGGCTGCCTTCTTTGTTTTTAGCACCATCTTTGTGAGAAGAGGAACCAGTATTTTTCTAAAAATCAAATCTAAAAAATCAAATGGAGGGCCTCCACGGTGGCGCAGCGGTTGAGCGCTCGGTTGCGAAGCTGCCGGCGGCCTCTGCGGCGCCGGTTCAATCTCCGGCTGCTCCCCGGCCACGGGAGGAGGGTCCCGCATGGCGCGCAGACCTCTCCTGCCGCCCGCTGCTCCCCTCAGCAGTGTACTTCGGTCCTTCTGCCTGCTCTGCTCTCTGCTCTGGCTCTGGTGAATTCTCTCACCCTCCCGTGCTTCTGACTGTACCCAGTGCTTGTATAAACAAAACAAACAAACAAATAAATAAAACATGCCTCTATAAAAAAAAAATCTTTAAAAAAAAAAATAAATAATCAAATGGATATTAAATATTGAAGCTAGGATTTGATCTTAGGCCGGTCTGACTAGATAGCCCCACTGTAGTTAAGAGCAGCTTAGCTTAAACAAGCAACTCTGGGCTTGGCGGGCACCATCAGCGGTGCGATGCCATGTTGTGATTGGTTGATTAGCTTGCTGTCTGGTTGGTCCAGTTGTTAGTGATGCACATTGCCGAAGTGCAGGTTCTGCTGGCCATTTTTTGTGCTCATGTAATGTTTACAGTGTATATCTTACATAGCATCCAAGAGCTTTTGTTTTTAAGTAAATATTCGAAATGTGTAGTTGAACACCTTCTGCAGATAAAATGCCCAATATCTAATGTCTGGCCCCTTAAAAAGCCTGGTGGGACTGTGGCTTTGGTATGTACTGTGGTGTGGTTTGTGACCAGAACTGGCATGACAAATGGGCGACATTCACATGCAATGACTGTGTGTTCTGAAATCTTAAACTAGACAGAAAGAAGTAGTGTGGCAGCCTCCATGTCTGTGGTCTTGCACAGCCCTTGCACATGTGAGGTCCAAGGTGCTGGGCCAGGGCTTTTAACCCTTCATGTTCCTTGTTATCTTCTGCTAGACATAGAAGTGCCATGTGCCTCCGCAGTCCTGAATTGGAACATGGCTTGGGAGGCAGCGTAGTTTATCCTCTGATGATCTCTACCTGCCCCCAGGTTTCACTTCTATGATTTGTATGTTGAAAAGGATAGGGGTTCCCCCGCCCATAAAGTCATTGAAAACTGAATAAGCCTTTTCAAACCAATACTGTCTCCCATTCTCGATGGGCTGCCTTTGAGGATTACTGCCATTTATATTCCTTCCTTTCTTATTCACCCTCTCCATTTACCTGCCTCCAAACATCTAACATCATCTGAAACACATAACATGTGCTAACAGACATTTGACACGATCTGGGTGATAGGGAGTCTAAGCTGAGGCTTGCTACTATTTGTCTGTAAGTCATGTGATCTATTTCACTAAGTCTGGGTAAAAATAAGGTCACATACTTTTGTTTTTTCCCATTAACTGTTTCCCCCTCCCTCTCTATTAGGAAGTCTCCTTTTATTATTTTATTTTTTTTTATTATTTATTATTATTATTTATTATTTTATTTTATTTATTATTTTATTTATTATTTTATTTTATTATTTTATTTTATTTTATTAGGAACTCTCCTTTTTAAGGGCCCCCATTAATATTGCCTAAGAATACATTATCTATTATGATCTTGTATCACAATCTATAGCATGGTTATCGCAGTGTTATGATATGGAATAATGGACACTAATAGCAATAGTTGCCACAATTGATGGAGTGCCAGCTCCAACTACTTTACATGCATTGTTTCTCACAGAAACCCTGCGAGGTAGTTTCATTTTACAGATGAAACTGGGAGTCACCTAAGTTAAGAAAAACTTCCTTTTAGCACACAAAGTCAGATACATTTCTTGTTCCAATAGCAACTCCTGCTATGGGTCAGTGACAGGCCACCCATCATCTCCCTTTCCACTTTCCGTTCCTCGCCAGAGCCACTGGTGGGTCTCAGTGCCCACCAGTCCTGGTTGCGGCCTGGTTTGAAAAGATGAGCTTTTGGCCCATCTGATTCTCCTTAGGACTTTGAATTGGGGAATAATGGAAAGAAGCAACAAGTTGGTGGGAGCAGGAGCTGGCACTGAAAGGCTTAATCAAAGGTTGCTGCATGACCATTGGGAAGGGAGGCCATATTCAAGCTGAAGCTTATGGGGGAGTAGAAGTGGAGTGGAGACTTTAATGTAGTAAATAGGGGTGGGACAGAAAGAATCCTGGCAGAGAATAGCTAGGTTGGGGCCACTCTGAGGCTAGATTCACCCTCTTGCCCCCGCAGTTTCTGTGCCAGCATAGCCTTAATGGAATCGTTCATTTCTTAGGTTACCTTTAGTGTCCGTTCTTTCAGCTGGAAGAGTCATGTTAGAATACACAGCCTGTAAATGCTAGAAAGGGGATTTGAAAATTTGGTTTTGTGGCTACAGAGCATCTGTTATTTTTTAAAATTTTTTTTTAGATTTATTTATTTATGCATAGAAGATTTGGGGTACAGACCAGAGATGTGGAGGGCGAGAGGATTCACTGGAGACAGAGCAAGGAACAGAACAGGAAGATTGAGTAAAATACACTGCTGAGGGGAGCAGCGGGCGAGTCAGGAGAGGTCTGCTGCGCCATTGGGTTTCTCTCTGGCCGGGGATCAAACTCGTGCTGCAGAGGCTGTGGATTACTTCATAGTGCAGTGCTTAACCCCTTGCGCCACCAGGGAGGCCCAGAGCATCTGTTCTTGTCACTGCACCCTGTTGCCACACGACAGGTGCTATTCCGACCTACCATGGCCCACAAGGTCACCTTAGTGTGGCCTTGAAAACAAACCAATGGTGGATTCAAATTCTTGGAATCCATGTCCCAAGTCTTGGTCTGCTTTGAGAGCCCTGAACAGGAGGGTGGGGTTAAGAAAGACTCAGGCAAGTGGGAGGTCTCCAAACAACTCTGGGCCAGGATACCAGCTTCCTGGGGGGAAGGTGCTACAGTGGGGCGAGGGGTGGGGCAGGGTAAGGATCTGTTCTTGGCAGTGCAGATGCCAGTGTCTTTTCCTCCATGATGGGTCTGGTCTTACCCCTACTTCTACCCCCTCTTCTAAGGTAGCGCCTGCCACGTAGCTGAATGAGCAAGTGAATGAATAAAGGAAGGGCAGAAGCAGGTCGCAGCCCCTCTTCAAATGTATGGGTCATTCTTGAGTTGCATCTTCCCAAGTTAAGGAACACCTGTGTCTACTGTGCTATTTAAGAAGACAAGTCAGGTAGCAATATGAGCAATGTTTACAGCGGCTTTAAAAATACCAAAGATGGGGCCTCCCCTGGTGGTGCAGTGGTTGAGCGCTGGGTTGTGAGGCTGCCTGCAGCCTCTGCAGCGCCAGTTTGATCCCTGGCCACCGGCGAGGGTCCCACAAAAAAAAAAAACCAAGATGATGTAGTGATGACCATGGCAATGACATAGTTCAGGGACTACAGTGGACCACTCTGGGTTGTGCTCGCCCTCTTTACAAAAATACTGTTCGTTTTGTCTTCCTCTTTCTGGAGAGAGTAAGGTTTTCATTTTAAGAGGCTGACTAAAAATGCAGAGCCACTTCCTGGGCAGGCTTCCAAGTGACTGCATCTCTCTCAGCGCTCCCCAGAGCCCCAGCCCAGGCTGCTGGGGCGGGGCCTCCAGCCGTTGGTGGCTGTTGGAGCCACCACAGGAGCAGTTATCTGCAGCCCGCCAGAAATGCTGTACTTTCAGGCCCCCCCTCAGGGCACCGATAACAACTGCTTTGGCCTTTGCACTGAAGAGACGTCAGAGTTTGTGATTGGCCAGGTCGGTGTGTGAAATACAGGTGTCTGCCGCGTTTCTGAGTATGACATTCCTTCCAGCCAAGTACCCCAGGGTGTGGGTAAGTGTAAATGTTTCAACTCTTCCCTCATTGGTTGTGAAATGTTCAAAGCTGAGCATTATGACTTTCCAAGGGTGTGACTTAGCATATTTCTTAATCCTGCGGAGCCTCAGTTTCCTTTTCTGTAATATAGAAATAACATTATCCTCTGTAGCGATGGCTGCAATGCCTAGAGGAAGGGAAACGTTCCTAGCCATTGGAGGGCAATGTGAGGTTTAAAAGAAATAACATCTCCAGGGTACCCACATAGTACCTGGCATATAGTAGACACGGAAGAGCTCTTGTTGCTTCTGAAGCATCTGTCAAGAAACTGTTTCAGTGTCAATGTCCCTGCTTTTATTTCTAATAGGACTGCATTTCTTGAAAGACTCAGCGGATGTAGTCTGCTTCTTAATCATACCTGTGTAGCCAACAGAAAAAAAACGCAGGGTAAGTTAGTGCCAAAGGAGTTTGCCAGACTATATCCCCTTTCTCTCTTTCCCTTCTAGACCCTGACTGCACCAGCCCCATTTGCAGATGAAACCAGCTGCCAGTGCCAAGCACCCCATGAGAAACTGACCATTGCTCAGGCCCGCTTAGGAACACCAGGTGAGGCTGTACTTCTTGTTTTCTGAATGGGCCCTGTCTTGACATCTAAAGACAGAAGGCCTGTTATTATTTGAGCAACACTTGCTTTCAGAGAGTTAAATATACAGATGATAGCATAATGTCAAAAGGATAAGCACCAACAGTGATCAACTAGACCAAACAAAGTTACCAAGTAAAAGTAGCAGTGGCCTAATACTGACCTTGGAGCCCCAGCTCTGCTGCCTTAGGCCAATCATCAACATGATCTGAATCTGTTGCTTGGCGCAAAATGGGGGCAGTGATTCCTGCTTCATAAGGTTTTGGGAACAACTTGACTTGGTTAAAGATACCAAAGCATTTTTTGAGCTGTGATGGTTCATACAAACCTAAGCTAGTATAAATAGGACTATTCTTGAAAGTCTGTGTTTGAAAAACTTTCTCTAAATGTGCCTTACATTAAAGAGCCTGGGCTCTGCTCTGGGAGTTTGTTCATTCATTCACCTTTTAGTGTATACCAGAGGGTGGACGAGAGAAGAGATGGAATAACCATAAGGTGCCAGATGTTTCCCCAGCACTTTCACTATCATTAAAGAGACAATACAACTGAATATGACAGAAAGCTCACCTGTACCATGCACGTGCGTGTTTAGGGATTATGCCCTGCAACAAGGTGGTATTGACAGTTTTATTTGACCTGGAGCAGACAGATGAGACCTGGTAGCAGACCTGAGCTGATCTTTTGGGGGAAAAGTGAGATTTGAAGTATGTGGGTACAAAGTAGAAGGGTATTCTGGGCGTATGGAACAGGAATAGTGAAGGCACAGACAGAGATAGAGACCCATGTAGGAGTAAATGAGTGGCATTCCAGCTGGATGGCGTAAAAAATAAGACTAATTTAACAGGTAAGCTTTGAACCATTTAAGATGGCATAACTCAATGGTTTTCACTCACCATCGCAAAAAAACCCAATATTTCAAATTTAATAGACTCCATAGGGCAAAGGACAGTTTGTTTGATAGTTACAATGGTAGTAACAGTTTGTTTGGTAGTAAGTGAATACTGTGTGCTAAGTTCTAGATTTTTATCCTGTCATTGCGGTCTTACTACTCTACGGGGTTATCACTTTTACTTATTTATTTTGTACTTTTAAGAACTACCCTCTAAGAACTGAACCAAAAGATTTTGTTTTTTGGAACAGTGGGGTTTTTTATTAAGATAATGCTGGTTCGGTCTCCCTGGTGGCGCAAGGGGTTAAGCACCACACTATGAAGCAATCCGCAGCCTCTGCAGCACGAGTTCGATCCCCGGCCGGCCAGGGAGCAACCCACATGGCGCAGCAGACCTCTCCTGACTTGCCCACTGCTCCCCTCAGCAGAACAGGTCAGTCTGCCTGTTCTGTTCCCCACTCTGTCTCTGGTGAATCCTCTCACCCCCCACAACTCTGGCCTGTATCCCAGCTCTTGTATGCACAAATAAATAAATCTTTTTTTAAAAAAGATAATGCTGGTTTATAACACTATGTTTGATTTAGGGGTGTAAGTCCAGTATTTCACAAATGAAGTCTAGAGAAGCTGTGAGTCTACCCAAGGTCATCCAGCTAGTAAGTGACAGTGGGAATCACACTTGGGCCTGCATCAGAATCACTTAGAGAACTTGTTAACACACAGGTGGTTGGGACCCAGCTCCAGAGTTTCTGATTCTGTCCCTTGGGGTGGGGCCCTACAGCTGGCATCTCTAACTAGTTTCCAAGCAGTGCTGCCACTGGGGACCACACTTTGAGAACCTTTGCTAAGTATAAAGCTGGAATGAGATCTCAAATCTGCTGGTGTTGGAGCTTAATCTCACAACCGTGACACTCTGCTTCCTCTTTAAAAATAGCCTTCAAGAGAGTGAAGGGAGATGAGGGAGTAAAGTTAGTAAGTTTTTTTTGTGTGTGTGCACTTCTTTTGAGAAAGGCAAGAAGGGGCTTGGGGAGGAAGTTCAGAGCCACTAAACCATTGTTCCCAGACTTGTGTGTGCACAGGGGCACCTGGTAAATTTGTTAAAGAAGTAGGTTTCCTGCTCTTTCTTCCCCACCCCTATCTCTGGGCTGGGGCCCAGGCATCTGCATTTTAAAAAAGATTTATGCATACAAGGGCTGGGGTACAGGCCAGAGGTGCAGGGGGTGAGAGGATTCACCAGTTACAGAGCAGGGAACAGAACAGGCAGACTGACTGAAATACACTGCTGAGGGGAGCAGCGGGCGAGACAGGAGAGGTCTGCTGTGCCATGTGGGTAGTTCCCTGGCAGGCCGGGGATCGAACTTGTGCTGCAGAGGCTGAGGATTGCTTCATAGTGCGGTACTTAACCCCTTGCGCCACCAGGGAGACCTGGCATCTGCATTTTTAACAAACAGCTCAGGTGACTCTGAAGTCAGTGGTCTGCGGGCCATACCGTAAGAAAAGTTGACCTGACAATAAATTGAAATGATGCAACGCAAGTCCCAGTGGTTATGAAGAGAACAAATTTGAAATAAAGTTAAAGCATGAGCTTCAGCCCAAGCATAAAAGGACCCTTCTGTTGTAGGGACAGGGAAGGAAAGTAGAATCTGCTAGGTGCTAGATCCTGTACCCTCACTTAGTCCTTGCAAAAACCGGGAGGGGTAGTGCTGTCTCCTTTCCGCAGATGATGCAAGTGAGAAATTACTTGTCAAATGTTCTAGTTGACTAGGGGGAGTTATGATGTGACCCTAAGTCCCTTCCACCTAAACCCCCTGCTTGGTCCACCATAGGGACTGCACTGTAGAGTAAGGGCCGGGCAGACCGTGCAGTTCAGTGGAAATGCGCTTGATTTTTTTTTAAAAAGATTTATTTATTTATGCATACAAGAGCAGAGGTACAGGACAGAGGTGTGAGGGGTGAGAGGATTCACCAGAGTGGGGAACAGAACAGGCAGATCAACAGAAGTACACTGCTGAGGGGAGCAGCGGGCGAGACAGGAGAGGTCTGCTGCGCCATGTGGGTAGCTCCCTGGCCGGCTGGGGATCAGACTCGTGCTGCAGAGGCTGCGGATAGCTTCACAGGCTGTGTCTTAACCCCTTGCGCCACCAGGGGAGGCCCTGTGCTCGATTTTGAACTGCAGAGTGGAAGGTGTATGGATAGAAGAGACAGTAGTTGTGACCTCTGATAGTGGCAGGGCTACCTGCCATGCTCACGGCTGTTTCCTCAGCACCTAGAGAAGTACTCTGCGTTCAGTAAATACCTTGTGAGTGAATGAATGGAAGTTTGGGACAGGAGAAGGAGCTTTTCCTTTGAAATGGAATCAGAGAGAGTTTGGTCTGATGCTTTGAGCCGGCCTCAAGCTCATTGGGTATCTGAACTTTGTCTCACCACCAAGCAGGTTAAACCCGGAGACTCAAGCTCCAATAAGGTGGTGGTACATTTTGAGGTAGCTCTTTGGTGACTCAATACAGGAGTGAGATGGAGCAAAGGTGAACTAGTCATAGAAAAGAAATTCTCCCCTTTTCACTTTTTTTTTTATTGAGATATCATTGGCAAATAACATACTAATTTCAGGTCTACCTCCCAATGATTTCATACATGTATATATTGTCAAGTGAGCACTGCAATAAGTCTAGTCAACATTCATCATCATGTGCACTTAGACTACTTTTTCTTGTGATGAGAACTTTTAAGATTTATTCTCTTAGCAACTTTCTAATATGCAATATAGCATTATTAATTGTAGTCACATGCTGGGCATCCCCAGGACTTAATTATATTATGTAACTGGAAGTTTGTGGTTTTTGACACCCTTCGCCCATTTTCCCTAGCTCCCAGTTCCTCCACTTCTGCAACCCCCAGTCTGTCTCGGTATCTACCTATCAGCTCATGTTTTTACTTTATATTTTTGGTTTTTTTCCCCCACATATAAGTGAGAGCATACGGTGTCTTTCTCTGATTTATTTCACTTAGCAAAATATTCTCAAGGTCCATCCATGTTGTCACAAATAACAAGATTGCCTTTTTTCAATGACTGAATAATATGTCATTGTATAGCGATACAGCATTCTCTTTATCCATTCATTCACCGATGGACACTTACATTGCATTCGTGTCTTGGTTGTAAATAATCCTGCAATGAATTTGGGAGTGCACATATAATTTAGAGTTAAGGTTTTCTTTTTTTTTTCTCAGATAAATCTCCAGAAGTGGAATTGCTGGATCATATGATAGTTTGATTTTTAGTATTTTCAGCAACCATCACAGTATTTTCCATATGGGTTGCACCAACTTACCTTCCCACCAATTGGGGTTCTCTTTTCCTCCACCTCCTGGCCAACACCTGTTACTTCTTGTCTTTTTTGATGATAGCCATTCCAACAGGCATGAGGTGACAGCTCAGTGTGTTTTTTTTTTTTTAAATAATATTTATTTATGCATACAAGAGCTGGGGTACAGGCCAGAGGTGCTGGGGGTGAGAGGACCCACCAGAGACAGAGTGGGGAACAGAACAGGCAGAATGACTGAAATACACTGCTGAGGGGAGCAGTGGGCGAGACAGGAGAGGTCTGCTGTGCCATGTGGGTCAGCTCCCTGGTGGGGATCGAACTCATGCTGCAGTGGCTGTGGATTGCTTCATAGTGTGGTGCTTAACCCTTTGTGCCACCAAGGAGGCCCTCAGTGTGGTTTTGATTTCATTTCCCCATGAGTGATATTGAGGACCTTTCCATGTACCTGTTGGCCATCTGTATATTTTTTTTAGGAAAGTGTCTGTTCAGGTCCTCTGACCTTTAAAAAATTCTCCCTTCATCTCATGGGAGGACACTTAGAAGTTATCCGCAAGAATTTGTGATGTTGATGGGCATTTGGTTGGGGTAACATCTATTAGAAATCCCATTATCTAGAACTTCTAATATCAGTGTTAAAATGTGACAAGAAGTTAGGCTCATGGTAGCCTTAGATTTGATAGCCATTGTTTTATTAGAACAGTCATCCTCAGTTAGCTGAAATTCTCTGGAGGGCCTGTGACAGCAGCACTGGGCCATACCCCACGGTTCATAGTGCTGAGACTTAACCCCTTGTGCCACCAGGGAGGCCCCCTTTATTTATTTATTTATTTGTTTGTTTGTTTGTTTGTTTTTTAGAGGCATGTTTATTTATTTATTTATTTGTTTGTTTGTTTGTTTATACATGTACTGGGTACAGTCAGAAGTGCGGGAGGGTGAGAGAATTCACCAGAGCCAGAGCGGGGAGCAGAGCAGGCAGAAGGACCGAAGGACACTGCTGAGGGAGCAGCGGGCGGCAGGAGAGGTCTGCGCGCCATGTGGGACCCTCCTCCGGTGGCGGGGAGCAGCCGGGGATCGAACCGGCGCCGCGGGCAGCTTCGCAACCCAGCGCTCAACCGCTGTGCCACCGGGGAGGCCCCCCTTTATTTATTTTTAAAAAAATTTTTTTTTTCTTTTGTTATTCTTTTTTTTTAATTTTTTTAAATTTTATTTTTATATTCCCCATACAATTTCAACCCCCCCATTTTGACCCCAATCCCTCCCCTCCCTCCACCCACCCCCCAAAAGTGTCTCTGGTTCATAGATTTAAAAAAAAAATTTTAAAGATTTATTTTATACAAGAACCAGGGTACAGGCCAGAGGTGCGGGAGGGTGAGAGGATTCATCAACAACAGAGCGGGGAACAGAACAGGCAGACTGACGAAATACACTGCTGAGGGGAGCAGCGGTTGCAACAGGAGAGGTCTATCGTGCCATGTGGGACACTCGCCGGCTGGCCGGGATCGAACTGGCACTGCAGAGGCTGCGGACAGCTTCACAGCGCAGCGCTCAACTGCCTGCGCCACCAGGGGAGGCCCTATTTTTATTTTTTAAAGGTAAATCCAGATTTACTTATCAGTGAAGCTCCTTACTCTGCACATTTATTATAATTTCCATGGGACAGGAATCTGAGCCTGACTTAGCTGTATCCTCCACTTAGGGTCTCACAAGTCTACCTGGGTGTCACCTAGGGCTCAGTGCTCATCTGGAGCTTTGACTACTGACAGATTTTGCTCCTGAGCTTACTCAGATTGTTGGCAGATTTCATTTCCTTGCACCAATATGACTAAAGGTCTGGCTTCTTGCTGATAGTCAGCCAGGGCCCCTCTCCACTCTTGGAGGACACTTACCCTGGGATGTTCTGACAACCTGGCAGCTTGCTTCTTCCTAGTCCCCAAGGAAGAAAGAGTCTGACATGATGTAACATAACCATGGCAGTGACACTATCACCTTTGCCATATTTCACTGACTAAGAAGCAAGTCTCATCTTCCACTCACGCTGTGAGGGAGGGGATCATGCAAAGGTGCAAACACCAGGTGGCTGGGATCACTGGAACCCGCCTTCAGGTCTCTCCACCATGGTTGTAGGATGGTTGTGCCTTCACCTCTGATCATTGCCAAACTCCAGTTCCCCAGGCCAGTGGCTCCCAATATAGACACTCTGGAGAGTCTTCAGATTCTTACAAGAATATCCAGCAGATGAAAACAAATATCAACAGATAAAAACAAACATACAAGCTAACTTTAAAAAACCACACACTATTTAAAAAAAATTTATGGAGAATTTTAACAATACACAAAAAAAACCAATATAATGAACATTCATGTATGTATCTGTCACCCATACTTGATCAGCTGCCAACCCACAAGTTGTCTTGATCTGTCCACTCCCCCTCTTGAGTTATTCGAAACAAAATCCCAGATTTCCTGTCTTGTCATCTGTAATTGTCTGTATTTAAGTCCAAAAAAATCAGAACTTTATTTTTAAAAACATAACCATTATACCATTATCTCACATAAAAAATTAATTCTTAAAATATCATCAAATATCCAGTGTTCCAATTTCCAATTATCTTATATCATCATTTATTTACAGTTTGAACCCAAATTCATTTGGATTTAGTATCTATATATTACAATATGTTGACAGCCCTTTAAAAATCTCTTGAAATGTATAGATTCCCCCTCCATTTATCTTTTTTTTTTTTTCTTGAAATTTATTCGTTGAGGCCATTGGTTTCTTTTTTTTTTTTTTTTTTTTTTTTTTGGGTTTCCTAGTCTGGAAATTGCTGACAAGGTACAATTTTTAAAAGTGAGCTTATTGCAAAATCAACTCCACAAATACTCTTCAAAGATTCACTAAATGGCCTTTTTTCTCAGTAATTATGTCATCTTTCTTTTACTTTTCTTTCCTCCTTGCTTCCTGAATTCATTTATCTGGATCACCTCTGAATCAATAACAAAAAGTTTTGCTAAATTGCCATCTGCTTTCCCCTGGGGTTGATATCTTAAAACAAATTTTCCTCAATTGAATTCAAATTGAATAAGAGTATTGAAACCAAGGATCCCTCATTAGACAGTTTGTTATTTCAAAGCATTTTCTATTTACTGTGCCTTATTTAGAATACAGTGTAATCCTGTGAAGGCAATTCTATTTGTTCAAAATGATGTATAATTGGGAATAATTGCCATTCCCTATCTGACATAAATTCTCTCAAGTTTTTTATTAGAGAAATTTAATTTATTAGGAATATTGTACCATCTGAATCTATTAATGTAACATTCCTTTTTTCTTTATGTTCCAAGTTGATGAGATTGTACTGCATCAAGAACTAATCACGGGCCTCCCTGGTGGCACAGCGGTTGAGCGCTGGGTTGCGAAGCTGCCCGCAGCCTCTGCAGTGCCGGTTTGATCCCCGGCTGCTCCCTGGCCACTGGGTGAGGGTCTCACATGGCGCGCAGACCTCTCCTGCCGCCCACTGCTCCCCTCAGCAGTGTACTTCAGTCCTTCTGCCTGCTCTGCTCCCCGCTCTGGCTCTGGTGAATTCTCTCACCCTCCGGCGCTTCTGACTGTACCCAGTGCTTGTATAAATAAATAAATAAATCTTAAAATAAATAAATAAATAAAAATTTAAAAAAAAAGAACTAATCACAATTTTAAATCTAAGTCTTAATGATCACTTAACAAAAGTTTGCATTGATTTCTTTCTAAATTTATTTTTATAGCATCAACATAATACCTGCATGTAGTTCAAAAAGTCAGTAGGACTCTCAGGCTTATTTAAAACAAAAACCCCCAAACAGCAATTCCTCTCCCTACCTGTCCTGTCACTGATTCTCCCTCCCTGTAGGCTGTCAGCACTTGACAATTGACTTCTCAAAATAATGTGGGAATCGCTCATCTACCATAATGACCTTTTTGTTTCTCTGTTGGGGGGGGGGAGAGCAGAGCAGATTATACCTTTTTAATTTCTGCTCTGTGATTCTTGAGGTCTTTGGAAGGAAGTAGAGACAAATGTATGTGTTTGGTTCGCCATATTTAGCTTGTCGTTCACCATATTTTCAATTTCTTGTTGTCCTTTGTTGAGATTCCACAATGGTGTGGAAGTTGGCACCTGAACCCTCGATCCCCCAATGTCTCCAGCTTATTTGAGGACATGGCCCTTTGGGCTGGCTTAGCATGTGTCATCTTGCTGTTTCTAGTGTCGTCTCCCGGCTCTTGGGGGGCTCTGATGATGTGTTCCCCAACCTCATGAAACGTCACTACACAGAGTGCCGTGCACCACCTGGGAGTGTCGTGGCCCCTTCACTGCCCTCTCTCTCCCTAAGAAGGGTTGTGGTGATCCTTGCTCCCTTCCAACCCCAAGCACCACTTCCATGTGCAACTTTTAATCTTGAGTCCCCTCCATTTGGAGCATGCCTTCCTCCTCTCTCTCTCATGAGACCCAAGAGGTTAGGGGCTGACATTTGTGTGGGGCAAAGGTTTAACTACTGACCCTCCAGAGGGAAATCAGCCCTGATTTGTAGCATTTGTGGTGTGAATACTCTTGCTGTGACTGATTTGGGGATCACACAATGACGTGGTGTTAGGAAGAAAGGTGCCCGACTCCAGCTCAGTGCTGCCTTTTGGAGGCAGGATTTGAGGTCTTCACTCAGGACTGCGAGTCTGCCCTTTCCATCTGCCCTTTCCATCAAGCGCCTCACTTATACCTGCTTCCATATTCCCGCCGAACTGACTCTGCCAACCCTGTGGTTGTGTCTGGTCAGTCTGAATCTGCCGGTTCAGACTCCTGGGCCTCCACTCTAGATCCAGAAGACTCTCAATGCTCTGTTTGTCTTTCCTGTTAGCTAAAAATATGTATTCTGGGCTGAGCTTGATTTTTGATGTCCTCGGAAGAACCACTCTGCAGAGTTATTTTCATGCACTAACATGATACTGAAGGTGGTATTTACACACTGTGTTTTATCCAGGTACACTCCTCACTGTGCCACACTGTTGGGAGCATCAGGTAACCAGGATTCCTGATTCTGCAGTTCTGATGATATTGTTTTCTTTCTTCCACAGTTGACAGGCCAGTCAGAGTATATGCTGATGGGATATTTGACCTCTTCCACTCAGGTCATGCAAGGGCTCTTATGCAAGCAAAAACACTGTTTCCCAACAGCTACTTGTTGGTAGGAGGTAAGAAGTGCATTTTCTCTTTGTCTAAAAAACTCCTTTGTAAGGTCCTTTCTGAAAAAGACCCCTTTTAGAGGTCCGTCATGAAAATCTCACATTGTTACTACTCCTTGTTCATCCCATGCTGGTTCACTTGTTCACTGCCTGAAATTTAAAATGTTTAAAAAAACACAGGGAAAATTACATCATTAAATTGTTTACTGCTGGTACCCGGAGAGAGACAGACTAATAACTATTCATATTATTACTAATACCATTAATACTGCCACTAATCTGCCACCAAAGGTAGGTGGTTCTTGGTTTCCATGAATGTCTTTTTCTTCTTAAGTTTGAGGCATGGTCCAATCTATGTTCCTAAACTTTTCTAGAGGCTTAGGACAAAAGCAATATTTTTCTGATTTCAGATCTTGGAGAGTTAAAAGGTTCAGGACAATTAAGGGTAAACAGCGTCTTTGTTTGCTTTGTGAGACTCCCTGACACTTGCAATGATGTTGTGCTACCACTGGTGGCTTCTGAACAGCCCTTGGTTGTGGAATTTATGCAGTGTGTTGAGGAAATGGAGATTGACCTACTCAGATAACCTGATTCACAGTGAAGAAACATCTGACTTAGCTGACAGGTTTGTGGAGTGACAAGGGCGGGTTAGATATAGATTGAAATTTTCTGCCTCCAGAAGGTGTACAGGTTTTTCTTTTTTTTTTTTTTTTTTTTAAGATTTATTTATTTATGCATACAAGAGCAGGGGTACAGGCCAGAGATGCGGGGGTGAGAGGATCCACCAGAGACAGAGTGGGGAACAGAACAGGCAGACTGACTGAAATACACTGCTGAGGGGAGCAGCGGGTGTGTGAGGAGAAGTCTGCCTCGCCATGTGGGTTTCTCCCTGGCCCACCGGGGATCGAACTCATGCTGCAGAGGCTGTGGATTGCTTCATAGTGTGGTGCTTAACCCCTTGCGCCACCAGGGAGGTCCAGTGTACAGGTTTTGATTTGGGTAAAAGGGGTGGTACCTGACTAGGGAGATCTGTATCTCACCTCTGGAGCTTCTGAATCAGGAACCGTCAACCCTGAGACCTCTGCTGGGAGAGAAAAAGGTGCTGTTATATGGCAGTGTGGATCTTTGTTGTTAAGGAATTTGTTATCATCTGCAAGCTTAAAACTACTTTTTGGATATTTAAGACAAAACTTTCTATAGATTTTGCTGAGGATGGTGACTATATCCTCACTTGAATGAAGTTCTTTCCAGAAGGAAGGGATGATAAAAGGCTATAGTTACTGGACAAGTCATGGAGCAGTAGCCCTCAGCAGGCAGGGGCCTCATTACTCATTCACTTTCCTTTCTCTTGAGTGGAAACCATTCCCTGAGCAGGCCCTACTGCCTGAGGCTGGCCCTAGGCTGCTGGGACTCTGGGGACACCTGTGCAGTGTTTGGTCTTTGGTTGTTTTGTTGATCCAAACTTGGCCACACTTAAAGGATCATTAGCCATGACGCAGAGTTGTGAAATCAAAAGTGAGATAATAGCAAATGTGCAGCTCTCGGTATAGTCTTGTAAATTAGAGAAAGCACTAAATTAATATCTAGAACTCCCTAGTCACTGATTGAATGATTCCTTCATTTAATGACTATTTATTGGGCACCTACTGTGTGCCAGGCATTCTTCTATACACTGAGGATGCAGCCATGAACAAAACAGACATGTCCTTGGAGAACCTGATGTCTGAGGATGAGGCGGACACTGCCCACTGCCCACTGACCAAGTCAGTGTGTAGTAGTGGTGCCCTGAGGAAATATAAAATAGAGTAAGCGAAGGAGTGACTATTTGGGAAAGGAGAGATATTTGGGGTAGGCAGGTTACGGGAGCCCCTTTGGATGTGTTGACATCTGTGCCCAGACCTGAATGAGGTTACGGGTGCCAAAGCCAGAAGACAGAACCTTCCTTGTACAGTGTTCTTTTATCAGTCAACGTGATCATTTTGGGACAAATAGAGAAAACCAGGTGTCCACAGTGATGTTATTTTACTGATTTGTGCATCTTCCAGAGGCTTTCCATAAAAGCATAGACGACTCAATACTGAGAGAAACTAATGTGGGCAGGAGCTCAGAATTAGGAATTAAACAGAAGTGAAGGAAGAAAACTCCAGCAAGAAATCCTGAACTTTTCAGCAGCCACAGTTATTCCATATCACTCAAATGTCAGAGTGGATTCTACTCCGCTAGGAAGAACTAGATTTTCCTGCCCTCATTTCGAGATAGGTGTTTGGAAGGCTGCTGCGTAAGGGGCATCTAGCCATCCAATGAACGCTGTCTTCAGCAGCAGATTTACAAAGAAATGCAGATACCCCCTCAATGGCTAGTACACGGGTTCTCTTTGGAAACCAAGGGCATGTGAAACTAAGACAACCATGGAGGCCATATCTTTTGGGGAAGTGACAGGGACTAGAGTATGGATGGGAAATAATGCAGTTCCACGTGAACCTGTAAGGAAGCGGCACATAGACTTGCAGGGACAATGACAGAGTAAGTGAAATATCACAAGCAACATAATTTCAATGTTATTTTCTCTGCTGATTTCTTATTCTTATTTTCCTGTTAAAATAATTACATGGCTATGCTATGAAATATATTTTAACCACCCTATTAATAGAATTCAGTGCGATCCTGTTTTTAGTGTTGCCAGTGACTTAATTATATTTGACTCCCAGTCTGTGAAACAGACTTTAGCCTTTTGTGTGTAGGCAGACCTCTACTGGGGCGTGGTGTTGGGGTTCAAGCCCCATGAGTGGCACTGCTGTGATGAACACATTTTGGTAAAAATCAAGAAGACAAAGTATAGTCTTCGCTTAATGCATATAGTAGTTGCCTTCCTCTAAAATTCAGCATCTATCACAGCTTTTCCAGAAATACTTAGTGATTCTATGTAAAACAAAGTTGGTTCCAGACACAAATAATTTAAAATACATTTTCAGGGACATTCAGAAACCTTGCAGGATTTGGGAAAATTCTCACATGTGTTAGACTAAGAGGCTGTTTCTATTAGCCGGCTGTTATGTCTGTGGTTATAATAGTGGGGTTTTCTATTTCTCCTTGCAAATTATCCTTTTTTGCTTCATGAATTTGAGTGTTGTTAGGCACACACATTAAGGATTCTGATTTTTTTTTTTTTTGGGAATATCGACCCCTTTATCATTATGTACTGTTCTCTTTATCCATGATAACTTTCTTTGCTCTGAAGTCTGCTTTGTCTGAAATCAGTGTAGCTATTCCCATTTTCTTTGGATTAGTATTAGTATGGTGTGTCTTTTTCATCCTTTTTTAAATTTAATATGTGACTTTTTATTGTAAGTGATTTTATGTTGTTGACAACAGAGTTGGGTTTTGTTTTTTTGCTTCACTTTGACTATCCCCAGTCATTGACTTGGTAACTTTAGAACATTGATGTTCAATGTGATTATTGATATACTTGGTTTAATATCTACCATATTTTTCCTGCTTTCTATTTGTTCCTTTGTTCATTGTCCTACTTTTGTCTTCTACACTTTTTCTGCCTTTTGTGTGTTTTTCCCCAAAGATTTATTTGTTTATGCATACAAGAACTGGGGTACAGGCCAGAGGTATGTGGGGGGGGCGGTGAGAGGATTCACCAGAGACAGAGTGGGGAACAGAACAGGCAGATTGACTGAAATACACTGCTGAGGGGCGCAGCGGGCGAGTCAGGAGAGGTCTGCTGCGCCATGTGGGTAGCTCCCTGGCTGGGGAATCAACTTATGCTGCAGTGGCTGCAAATAGCTTCATAGGTTGTGTCTTAACCCTTGCACCACCAGGGAGGCCCTGCCTTTTGTGGTTTTAATTATGCATTTTATATGATTCCATTTTCTCTTCTTAACATATTGAATACAACTTTTTTTTTAACTTACGTTTGTGTGGATGCCCTGGAATTTTTACTTTCTGAACTATATTATTCTGTGGGTACTTTTTAGTGAACAAAATATTCCTAATTTCTCCCTCCTATCCCTTGTATCATTCCTGTCATTCATTTCACTTATACATAAGCATCCACCATTGAACACATTGCTGCTGTTATTTTGACCAAATTGCTGTCTGTTAAATTAATTAAGGAGAAGAGGTTTTTGCTTTATCTTCACTTACTCATTCTCTAATGCTTATCCCTTCTTTATATAGATCAGAATTTCTGACCTATATCATTTTCCTTCTCTTTGAAGGGCTTTTATCTCTGAAGAGCTTGAAAAAATGTTTCTTGCAACACAGATATCCTAGGAAAAAATGCCCTCAGTTTTTGTTTGTCTGAGGAAGTCTTTATATTTCCTTACCTTTGAAAGGATAATTTGCAAGATACAGAATTCTAGGTTGGTGGTTTGTTTTTTCTCAATACTGTATATATTTCACTCATCTCTTCTTGCTTACATTGTTCCTATGGAGAAGTCCAATGTAATTTTTATCCTTGCTTTTCTAGAGGTAAAGTTTATTTTTAATTCTGGCTCCATTTGAGATTTTTTTCTTTGGCATTTATCTTGTTTGGTGTTCCCTGATATTTAAATGAGATGTGTGGGATTATTTGTATCAACAGATGAGTATATTTAAACCCTGTTTAAAATTGATTTTATTTTTATTTTTCCTTGTTTAGATGTCAGTGCTGAAATATTTTGTTCACACAAATATGTAGATGGAATGAAAGAAGTTTATTATAGTAATGCCACTCATTGAAATCCTGAGTTACTTGTCAAATATTGGAAAAATAATTTATTGTCATCCAGATAATTTTGATTGCCAAACAACAGTTTATTAAGGGGCTCTTTCAGATTTGTAGCAAGTAATGAATTAGAGATGACCTGCAGAAAGATTTATTTTCAAGCTATTGGAATAATTTGCGTTCTTCTTTCTGAGACGTATAATAAAAAAGGCTTTACCAAAATTTGTCAAATGACTTTTAATTATAATCCTTACTATTTTACTAGAAAATAACTTCTTCAACTAGATACCCTCTG